CTTCTGCAGGGTGGAGTTAAATCTTTCTACCGGTCCATCAGACTGTGGTCGAAAAGGTGTGTTGTGCATTTTCTCAATAACAGTGAGCCCATTTTCTAGAACACCTCGGACTCAAAGTTCCGACCCAGATCACTGTGCACTCTTTGTGGTGCACCATAACCACACACCCAGTCAGTGCTCTTTCTGCTGCCTTGTGTTTCTCCCCACTCAGGTTGCCTTCAGGTAAAGAGGGGCGGAGCCACTTCATTTGATTTTGTGCACCTGGGCACACAGGGCCTCAGTATTTAAAGTGGCTTCTTATTCTCGGGCCCTTTCCGAATAGCCACAGTTCAGTAGGCAGTACTTTTTAGTAGGAGTTTCAGTATACTGAACTTTCGTGGTCATTCAGTATGCATTGTTTGGGTTAACTTCAGTATACTGAACATTTCAGTATGGATACTAATTTCCGGGGTTTATACAATATGGATCGGATGCGTGCTTTCAGGAAATGAATTGTATTTTACCCACAATGCAGTGCGAAACTAAACATAAATCGTCACTTCACGTCTGCCTCCAGATCAAAACAAACGAGCGTGGATTAATTTAATCAATTTTTAATCTAGAGTTAAAGTCCCGTCTGAAATCACTACTTTTAATTAACAACAGAAAATATAACAAATATCTGCATTATTATAAAACCTTTCCCCCTCTATTTAAATAATGATTTAACTCTTTAAATGCGTCTTTATTGGTTTATTTTATATTCTGTATATTACTGTCTTTCATTTGTACTTTCCTTTATGTACTGTATGTTATTTAGTTATTTAATCTGCCTTTTACTTGATTTACATTGTAATATTGTTTTTTGATTACCTGACTGTATATGTGCATTACTCTTCTTGAATAAAGCTAAACAAAAAACAAAAAAAAAATGGGTGAATGCGGCCGGTTCGGGAAATGTAAATGACATCACTTCTTTACTGAATGAATCAGAAGAAGTAGGAACAAATATCTTCCTACTGTGCGCGCCTACTGAATAGTAGGTACAAACAGTATACAGCATGGATAGTAGGTACTGTCTACTGAAAGATTGAGTATGTACTTGGCAATTCAGATACAGCCTCTGTCTCTCTCTCGTCAACACTACACACATTCACCATTACAATCACCACTGATTTACAGTTTGCACATTCTTTGATTAGGAGGATTTGCCTGGGTTGTGAGAAAATGGGGGCTTGTCTGACTTCTGAACTTGGATTTGGCTTGATACTTGGTAGTTGTAAATCTAATTAGTTGTGTATCAGATTGTTTGTGTAGTTTGTTTGGAACTTGATCTGTGTAGAGTGGTAAGTAACCTCTCTGACTTGTTACTGGTACAATTTGTTTGAAGATTTAACGATTTGACTTTCTTCAGAGCATTAGTTGTACTTGTTAGTTTGACCATCAAGAGTTTTATTTTTGAGCACCCTGATCAGCAAGCCGCCGGGCAAGCAGGACTTGCCACTTGGTTATTTTGCCATTTTTATTTTTAGTGGTAACTCTGGGGAGGGGGTGTGCCAAATTCGGTATGTTTCAGGTGACTCGGTCAGTGATCTTCAGGGATGGTGTCCGAGTTTGGGAGACGCCTCGAGCTCGACAAGCCATTGAAGAAGTGAGGCTTAGGTGAGTTAGTTATTAGTGTAGGTGTTGGGGTGTCTCCATAAAGCTTGTAAAGTAAAGCAGCATATTTTCTTTGTTTGTTGGACTGATTACCTTGTTACATTACATTTTCTGAGACGTTTGGTTAAGTTGGTTTTTAAACTTGGTATTTAATCAGTGGTAGACTTGACTTGGGATTTTGACAATGGTTTCTGTGTATGAGTAACAATCCTATGAAAGCTATTTTTTTTTAGGGGCAGGCATTACACCTCGTTTTGTTGATGCAGGTTTAACATTTGAAACAAAAAAGAAAACTAGAGCTTGAAAAGTACAAAATGCAACTCATTAAAGAGGGTAAATTTGCTTAAATAAACTGTACAGAAGCTATACACTGTTTTATTTCATGTGTAGTGAATTATTTAAAACGTATCTCCTGGTACCAGCTGGTGTATTTGTAGTTTATTGTAAGGCCAGAAGCCAGAACAAGGTGTTCTATGTTATTGCTCTGCCTCCACATGAATGATAAAGTTCACGTGTTATTTGAAGTCATGTGGTGTTTGTTCCATCAGAGCTCGTCTGTGTTTCTCCTCAGTGCGTCCCCCACAGCACCGCGATCAGTTTAGACATCCTGAAGACGATCGAGGAGAACTTGGAGATGGAGGAATGGGTGAAACCTGCCGACGGCTCGCGCCCACTCGAAACAAAACATACACGAGGGACACTATAGAAGCTTAGTCTAATACTAAAGCTGCCGTTTTGTTTTGACTCCCAGGAGTGACCTGGCTGACGCGCCGTACTGTCGTAGGTCAATACGATCCCGTTTGCTGTTTGTCGATCAATAAGATTTCTGCAGTCGTGTCTTTGGTTTGCAGCATAATACAATCCATTTATTGCAGCACCATGAAGTGAATACAGCGTCCATCAGTTTCCATTCTTTTGAACTAAACAAACAAACAAACAATACAGCTGCGGTTTCTCCATGCCGCCTGCCGCCTCAGCGGTCAAAAACCATAAGCCCTTCCGGGGTCAAACACCTCCCGTACCTTGACAAGTGACGTACATATATACCTGTGACAGGTGGTCAGGAAGTGATCTGGTACCTCTCCAGCTGCCAGACCAACTTCCATATTTGGTCCGCACCGGGACTTGAGCCGGCGACCCTCCGGTTCCCAACCCAAGTCCCTACAGACTGAGCTACTGCCACCCAAATTGCATTTGTCACAGGTGGGAGTTATATCGGGGTACATGCTGGACAACTTAACCTTGGACATGTGACCCCTGTGGACCACCTTAAATTGAAGTAGACAGTGTCTAGCACAGATTGAGGATTTATGTATTGATAAAAGAATGGAGTCCCATTGGTCATCAGAGATGTGTCCCAAGTCCTGTTCCCAGGCCGTCTTAATCTTGTCCAGTGGTGAACATATCAGCATCAAAATGATATTGTGTAACTTGGACAGCGCACCTCTAGACAGTGGGTCAAAGGAAAGAAAGGTATCTATTGGGTTAGCTATGGGTACTGAAGGGAAACAAGGCACGTGCGAACGAACATACTGTCTGACCTGTAAATACCGAAAGAAGTGCGTTTTGGGTAAATTGTATTTCTCAGTCAATTGATTAAAGGAAACAAAACAACCGTCTTCAAACAAGTCCGCAAACGATCTGATGCCCCTTTCATGCCAAGTCCGAAAAGTTGAGTCAGAGCGCGAGGGGGTGAAGAGATGGTTTGAGGCAATCGGACTCAGAAGGGAAAAGAATTCGTATCGAAAGGATCTCCTACATTGGGTCCACACCCAAAGGGTATGACGTACCATTGGATTATCCAGTGATTTTGGTAAGGGGCAGTCAAGCGGCGCACCGAGGAGTACAGGGAGGGAGATGTCTCGGCATGAATTTAGCTCCAGAGATGTCCAGTCTGGACCGTCGGACTGGAGATAAAAGCGAGTCCAAAAAGCAATACAACGAATATTGGTAGCCCACTAGTAGTGACGGAAATCAGGGAGCCCCATACCTCCATCCCTTTTGGGTCTCTGAAGCAGAGCTTTGCTAATTCGAGGCCTCTTGCCCTGCCATATATATGAGGAGATAATGGAATCCAATGAAACAAAAACGATTTTGGAACAAGTACTGGGACACACTGAAACAAATATGTAAATTTTGGGAGAACATTCATTTTTATGGAGTTTATTCGCCCAGCGAGCGATAATGTGAGGGGGGACCACTTTGATAGTGATGTTCTGACCTGGTTTAACAAGGTTATAGAATTGTCTTTCAAAATGTTCTTAAATTGTCGGGTAGCAACCACTCCCAAATAGGTAAATTGTCTCTCTTCAATTTGGAATGGAATGCCACTGTAGTCTAAGTCAAACGCCTGTCTGTTAATTGGAAACAGTTCGCTCTTGTGCATATTGATCTTGTATCCAGATATAGATCCAAATTGCTCAAGCAGGGAGAGAGCTGCTGGAAGCGAGGTATTTGGGTCTGAAATATATAATAGGAGACCATCTGCATATAAAGACACCCTATGCTCTGTACCCCCTCTCCAAATACCAGAGACACCCTGGCTGTTCCGAAGAGCCATTGCGAAGGGCTGAGAGATTGTGCTGTTTGTTTGAACTTTAGCAATGGGAGAAGCATACAATAATTTAATCGAGGCTATAGGTAACGGACCTAATCCAAAATTTTCCAGAACTTTAAACAAATATTTCCACTCAGCGCGATCAAACGCCTTCTCTGCATCTAGTGTCATGACACATTCGGGGACATTACTAGAGCTTGAGTATAGAATGTTAAATAAATGTCGGACATTGAAGAAGGAGTGTCGGTTCTTTATAAAGCCAGTCTGACCCTGCGCTATTATTAAGGGGGTAACTTCCTCCAACCTGTGTGCTAGTGTCTTGGCGAGGACTTTCGCATCTGTGTTGAGCAGGGAGATTGGCCTGTACGAGGCACAGTATGTGGGATCCTTACCCTTTTTAGCTATAAGAGTTATACGAGCCTCATTCATCGACTGAGGAAGTGAGCCTCGCCTAAGAGACTCGAAAAAGACAGTAGCAAGGCGTGGAGAGAGGAGTGCTGAAAATTTCTTGAAAAATTCAGCTGGGAAGCCATCAGGGCCAGGGGATTTCCCGGATTGCATGGATGATATAGCCAGGGCTATCTCCGCCTGAGACAGAGGAGCCTCCATTTTCTCCACCAACTCTGGCGGAATGGTTGGGGTGGACAAAGGGTCAAGAAAGGCCTTAATAGCTGCATCGTCACCATTAAATTGTGAGGTATACAGTTGGGAGTTGTGGTAGAACTGGGCCTGCAGAAAATCAGCAGAAAGAGGAAACCCTCCGACCCTTGGGACGAGAGCAAATAAAAGAGACTTTCAGAAACTGTTGAGTTGCTAAGTCACCCAGTTTATTACATGCAGCATGGAGAGAAGTTCAGCTATGCGTACAGGATACACAAAGTAAGTTCTCTGCCCGCTCTTGGGGCGTACAATCTTTATATACTTGAGCATATAGTGTGATCGAAACTTACAGAGGAGGATCAAAGAAACAGGTGCAGCTTTATCTGTGTCAGCACCTTGTGGTCAGTGTATAAATATGTGAATGTAGCAGTAACTTGTCCTTGAGAGTTTAAAAAATAGTCCTTATAAGGAGCTGTTGTTGAGTCTGTGTACGTGAGATAAAACACCTGTGGTGAGGTGAGTATCGTGCAAGGTTCGTGTGTTGCAGTGGTCATATAAGGACACGGTGCATGTATACGTGATATGTGTAATGCTATGTGTAATGCATTGGATCAGTTAATGAGCAAACATAAAAGTATAAAGAATATAAGATTCCACATTCCCCCCTTTTGTTCTTTAGAACAAACTACAATAAAACAAAATAAAACATAAAACATCCTTCACACATCACTCATCAAAGGGGAAGAAACTGAGATCGGGGTAGCCTTCATTTTCATCATCAGCGTCATTAGCATCACCATTAACCGCTAGCAGCGGGAAATTTTGCACAGCATCTTCAGGATGTGGGGGTGAAATAGCACGGTCAATCAAGCGAGTCATAAGAGCTCTAATACATGGGATACAGCAACAACCACAGAGAATGAGAATCGCAGCCATGACTGCAATTGAAAGTAGGACAGACATAATTAGACCTTTCCATTTACCAAACAAATTGCTCATCAATGCTGATTTCTAGGAAGGAAAATCTGAGGAATGGTCTTATGAGTTTGTTTGGGAGAAGGTGTGAGACAAGAGACAGTGGTAGAGGATACAGACCGTCTTTCACGTGGTTGTTGCTGCGGAGAAAAAGTGGTGTTAACATCGGGTGCTGTAGAGTTGGTGAGAGAGGGTTTAGTGGGAGTGGTTACAGATTTAGTGTTAGTTTCTTGCAGCTGATACCATAACCAAGGTGCTAGCACAATGCTAGCAAAAATTAGGAGGATACATGTCGTGCCTCGGAGGCCACACAGGCCTTTATGATTTCTAAAAGGATGCCATGGTCTGGGCCTGTCTCTCTTCTGACCGCGTGGCTGCCTCTCAGTCAATGGCAGGAGGGTTGGAGTTGGAGCCATGTTGCCTGCTGTAGGAGCAGAGCACGTCGTACACTCCTGTCGACTAATTCCTCAACGCTCTAATGCTGTCTTGTCAGCCGTTGCAGCAGGTGGTGTTACCTTCTTACAGTGGGATGCGTGGATCCATGTAGGTCGACCTTCGACCTTTACTGCGGTGTTTGTGACGAGTAGAACCTGATAAGGTTTGGTCCACCGGGGCTGCAGTGCAGTCTTCCTTTGGTGGATCTTTATAGCCACGTAGTCACCTGGTTGCAGTGGATGTCCTGGTTCGTTCAGGGGTTGTGGTTGTCCTTCACGAACCTGTTTGTGAATGGATGAGAAGACATAGTGCAACGCTTTGCAATAGTTTAGTACACTATCATGTCTCAGGGCCATTTCTTGAGGCACTATCATAGTGCCCAGAGATCCTGGGGTGCTCATGGCTCGTCCTGTAATCACCTCATATGGAGATAAATGATTACGTCTGCTAGTAGTAGCTCTGATACTCATCAGGGCCAGAGGAAGAGCCTCCGGCCAGCTAAGTTGTGTCTGTGCACATATTTTAGCTAGTTTGAGTTTCAGAGTCTGGTTCAACCTTTCAACTTTCCCTGCACTTTGTGGATGGTAAGGTGTGTGCAGGTGGTGTTTGATTCCTAGTGCTGTAACAACATCTTGCACTATTTGTCCAGTAAAATGAGTCCCTCTGTCACTATTAATGGATACTGGGATACCAAACCTTGGAATGAACTCTTTGAGTAAGGCTTTTGATACTGCTGTTGTGTCTGCTTTTGCAGTAGGAAAAGCTTCGGGCCATCCTGAGAATGTGTCCACCATGACCAGGACGTATTGAAACCGTCCGTGTTTTGGCATTTGGATAAAATCAATCTGTAAATTTGAAAATGGTCCTGGTGGAGCAGGATGAGCACCTTGTTTCACTTTTGTTGTCTTTCCAACGTTGTGTTGTTGGCAAATGGCACATCTTTGTACAAAATCAGCACATGCCTGGGATACATTATTTGCATACCATACACGTCTAATTATCGCTTCCATCCCCCTTTGTTCACGTGTGCTACACCGTGAACAGTCTGTAAGAGGTAGGGGAGGAGCGACTGAGGGCAACACGGGCGCCCGTCGACAGAGTAATATACATTATTTACAAGAACACATTTTGTCTGCCAGTGAGATCGTTCCAAGGGTTCGGCAGCTAACTGTAAGGCAGCTACGTCATGGACGGAGGGATCCGGGCTGGGAGAAACCAGTGTTGAGGTCGCCAACACGGGAGCGAGGGCTCCTGACACCGCAGCGGCTTTTGCTGCAGTATCAGCTCTTGCGTTACCGAGGCTCACAGGATCTTTGGAAGATGTATGGGCGTCACATTTGAGAATAGCAACTTTAGAAGGAAGAAGGAGAGCTTTTAGGAGAGCCTCTACTAGGGAAGCATTTTTAATAGGGGTGCCTGCAGATGTTAAGAAATCACGATGTCTCCAGATTCCACCAAAATCAAGGCAGACACCTAAAGCATACCGAGAGTCAGTGTAGATGTTAACAGATTTATTCTTTGCATAGATACATGCCTGAGTGAGAGCCACTAGCTCCGCCTGTTGAGCAGAGAAGTGGCCTGGAAGTTTACCTGTAAGAATGGTGCCAGTGGGAGAAACTACAGCCCAACCTGAATCAAGCGTGCCCTGCAGGTTTCTAGAAGAGCTGCCGTCAGTGAACAGGGTAAGGTCAAGGTTAGACAAAGGGGTGTCAAAGAGATCTTCACGAATGGTGTAGGTCATTGTTACCGTCGCCTGGCAGTCATGGGGCTCACCGTCAGCAGCAGTAGGAAGGAGAGAAGAGGGATCGAGAGTTGGAGATCTGTGAATAGTAAGATTAGGCATAGACAGCAGCAACAATGACTGTCTGGCTGCGGAAAGGTGTTGTGTGCTGGCTCTGGTAAGCAGAGCACTCACTGCATGGGGAACATAAAGTTTACACTGAGAGTCCAATACCAGGTCAGACACGGTTCTTACCATGAAAGCAGCAGCCGCCACAGCTCGGAGACACGGGGGCAAACCCAGCTCAGTGTTGTCAAGGCGAGTGGAATAGTAACCTACTGGGCGTTTGTTAGAGCCATGTTGTTGAGTGAGAACACCAGAGGCAAACCCATTGCGTTCGTGAACGTACAGCTGGAAAGGTTTGCTGTAATCAGGGAGACCCAGCGCCGGGGCCTGTGAAAGTGCTTGTTTTAAGTCAGTAACGCTGTCTCTGCATCCTCCGTCCATTGGAGGTGCTCAGGAGCTGCCTGCAGGAGCATGTCTTGAAGGGGCCTGGCTCGAGGGGCAAAGTCTATGATCCATGGTCTGGAGTACCCGAGGATGCCTAGGAACGACTTCAGCTGCTTCTTGGTGTGGGGTTTTGGAATGTTCAAAACAGCAGAAACACGTTTACTACTGACTTGGCGGGTGTTACCTTTGAGAACATGGCCCAGGTAGATCACTTCTTGTTGCACCAGCTGGGCTTTCGTGGCGCTGGCCTTGTGTCCCTTCTCAGCCAATGACAACAACAGAGCTCTTGTGTCCGTTTCGCATGCCTCTTTGGTGGGGCTGGCTACCAACAGGTCGTCCACGTACTGGATCAAGGCACTGCCTCCAGGGAGTTGAACGTCAGCTAGATCTGTAAGAAGGGCTCGGGCAAAAAGAGTGGGGCTGTGAATAAAACCTTGTGGGAGGCGAGTCCACGTGTACTGATGCCCACCGTAGGTGAAAGCAAACAGGTACTGGGACTCTGGGGAGACAGGGATGCTGAAAAAAGCAGAACAGAGGTCAACAACAGAGTACCACTGAGTAGAGGGAGGAATAGAGGTTAGGATGGTGGTGGGGCTGGGTACTACAGGAGTCATGGGAGCCACATAGTCATTATCAGGCGGAGATCTTGAACAAACCGCCAGTCAGGGGAGTTAGGTTTCTTAACGGGTAGAATAGGGGTGTTACAGGGGCTCTGACACGGCACCAAAACTCCTTGGTCTAAAAGGGTAGCGATGACAGGCTTAATGCCTTCCAGAGAGGCCTGTGAGAGGGGGTACTGCTGTTTTCTGGGAGCAGGACCTGATTTTACAGGAATTGACACAGGAGGGTGAGACAACATTAGGCCACACTCATTAGAGTACTGAGACCACAATGTGTCTGGGACTCCGCTGTGGCAGGGGACTGAGGAGGAACAGAAACTGAGAACAGAGAAAGAGGGTGAGACATGTCAGTGGTCTTAAAAGGTGAAATGGTGCATACAGGATCTTCGTCATCAGCTAACCATGAGTCATCTACTGTCACTGTCCATGCCACGCCCTCATAGTGGGAGTACACCATTCCTTGGTACAAATGTGAGATGGTTGGAGTCAGAGTCTGTAAGGTCTTTGCTATGGGACCTAAGTCTTTAGGCTCGTAACCTTCACAGGTGTAGAGAGTCAGGTGTGGGGCGGAGTCAGGTTGCTGGAACAAGCTGGAGGCTACTGGGCCCAATTGATGTGTCAATAGGGCACCCCCTGCTTACACAACAAAATGGTGCACGCAAAAACACTACAGGCCTGTCCTAAGAAGGGAGAAAAATGATGGAAATACTCAAGGTCTCGTCCTGTAGGGTCAACGTGCAAAGTCCAGTGCATGCGGTGTGGAGGGACACAAGCTGAGGAAACATCAGGGAGGTCTGGGCTGTCTGAGAGAAACTCCTGCAATAGATCAAATGTAAAAGGCACCATGCTTCTTATAATAATATCTGACTGAAAGTCATTATACATTAGGCTGTAGAAAAGTCCAGGCTGGTTAACTGTCATGGACATCTGGGAAGTTGGAGGGAGCTGTAATTCAACAGAATTAGCATGGCATACCAAAGTGGCTTTTAACTTACCTAATAAATCTCTTCCCATTAAACTTACTGGTGAGTTGTCGCCCATAAGTAGAAAAGAGTGCTCCAGATTTTGACCCTGAAAAGACACTGCAGCAGGTTGTGAGACATAATTTTGTTGCGTAATTCCAGCCACTCCTATGGTACTTAGGGTTTCTGTGGTGGGTGCAACATTAGCAGCAGCTGCATCAGAGGGAGTCAGGGTAGAAACAGTAGCCCCAGTGTCTACTAGCATCTCAGTTGAGGTCCTGTTTATTTCCATCACTGCCTTCGGATCTGGAGAAACAGAAAGAGGAGCTAATAAAAGGGGAATTAGTGTTTGTGTAAGTGTGGGTGGCTTACTTCCCTGTGAGCCTAGGTGTGGAGCCTCGCTGGCCTATTGTGGGTGCAGGAATGGTTCACCAGGGGGACCCTTTTGCTGTCTATTCATGCCTCTACCTCCGCCCCCTCCTCTAGGAGGAGCCCAGTTACTTCTGTAGGCGGGTTTGTTTAAACCTGGGGCTCCTCCTCGGCCACGCCCTGTTGGCTGGCCTTCAATCTACAGTCTTTGGCCCAATGTCCACTTTGGCCACAGTACAGACATTGATCTGGTCTTACCTGTTGACCTTGGGGTGGCTCTCGACTGTGAAAGGGGTTGGTTCCTTGAGCTGCTGGAAAGGGGTGATAAACTGGCCACTGTGTGGGAGCTGGAGATAAAAACTGTGTCTGTGGGAGAGAGGAGGGTTGGGTAGGGGCAGCCTGCTGGGCTGTTGCACAATCATTTGTTTTACAGCACCAGAATATTGTTTACGTTTGTCTTTCTTTCCCTTATTTCTGTGTCTTAGTTTATTTTTTTTTTACAATCGGTGTCAGACTCTGAGCTAGAACTATCAGAGGATTCAGCATTTCGTCGATTTCTTTCCAAGTGTTTGGCTATAGCTACACACTGTTCTAGAGTTTTTACCTCCCACGCGAGGTCTTGTTTTATCACTTCTCTGGAATGTCTTTCTAATCCGTCAACGAATGCGGCGGAAGAAGCGGGGCGAACTGCTCTGAGGTTAAGCCTGAGTATTTCTTAAATGTGTTTTGCAACCTAGTCACAAAATCTTCCACCTGTTCCTCTTTTCTTTTATGTAGTCCTGACAGTTTACCCCAATCTGGGTTGACTTTGAATTTAGTCTGTAAATCCTTCATTATTTCTTCCAACATAAGTTCGCCCCTTTCTTCTGTCTGATCTTTTGCAGCTGCGCTCTGTGCATCAAGATGTATTCTCCATCTATCCTCGAGCTTAGGCCAACGCGCCATACAAAAGCTGTACCAGTCACCCTGACAGGGATGGAAACATCCAGACAGTCTCTTTAGATATGTTATAGTCTGAGTCACGTCCTTCTTAGGATCTGGGGTATCGTCAGTCAGTTGTTTTAATTCCATTTTAGTCCAGGGGCGGTATGCAGTGATAAGAGACCCATCCCCATTTATTCCTGGAAATATTCTTAAAGGGGCTTCGAGCACGTGTGTGCCTCCCTGTCCTGATCCGCTAGCTCCTTTCTGACCCTGCTCCTTTTTGTCTTGTTCTTTTTTAAATTTTTGCTGTTTAAGTCTTTCAGAATGTCTCGGTGCTTTTTGTTCTTCATCTGATCCGCCCGAAAGCTCCTTACTGCTATCTCCCCCTCCCTCTGCTCGCTCATCCTGTTGTTGCGGTGCAGCTGCAGCCTGTCCGCTTCTGCCCTGTCTGGGTGCGGGTGCTCGTGGTGTATTTCTATACAGGTACAATTCGTCATCTGAGCTATAGTCAGGGGGAGAGCCTTCTTTTGTTAACAGGCTGGGGTACAACTTAACAGTTGAGCCCTTTTTACCAAATGGATTATTCGGAGACCAAGCTGTAACTTTGGCTTTATCTGTTTTTGGGGGTTTGCTTGGCTCTCCTGGCTGATTAACTGAATGTAACATTAATCTAAGTTTCTCGTTTGCTTCACCTTCCTGCTGTGCCTTTTCTGACATTTCAGCCGCTGTTTTCAGCGCTGTTCTCTCCCTACTTACTGCTGCTTTCTTTTCAACATGACCTTTCACAAGCCCCCAATGGAGGTCTTCACTCTTCTTTGGTCCTGCTTTTCCTTTGCCATCTTTTCCCCACCACTTTTCTTTCAACATTTTATCCACTTTTGCGCATTTCTTTGGGTCGCAAGTGCCCAGTACCGGCCATTTTTTTTTTATTTTTTATTTTATTTATTTATTTATTTATTTATTTATTTTTTTTTTTTATTTTTTTTTTTTTTTGTTCCAACGTTTGAAAATTTTAAGCCAATCTATGTCAGGGTACCCTGTTTTCATTTGCATTAAGATTGATCTATCCGGAGTATTACCTTCGCCATCAGGCTTTAGTTTACTGGTTGATTTTCCCATTGTTCCTTTTATTTGTTTGTTTTATTTTATCACTTTAGCATAGCCATTTTACTTTATCTTTGTTTTTGCAATCCTTTGCTTAATTTCTGTTTTCACTGTACTCCCTCAAACGTCTCTGAGGTTTCCCATGAAACCCAGAATTTCAGTTTAATATTCTGTTTTCACTGTACTCCCTCAGACGTCTCTGAGGTTTCCCATGAAACCCAGAATTTCAGTTTAATATTCTGTTTTCACTGTACTCCCTCAAACGTCTCTGAGGTTTCCTCATGAAACCCAGAATTTTAGTTTAACAAATTCGTTCCCACTATTTTATACAAATTTAGGTACTTGATTTTATTATTCTTCTTTTATTTACCTTATTTTATTCTTCTTCTTTTATTTTTTTCACTATCGTCCGATGGTCAGAGTAGTTTCACACAGTTCTGGTTCTTTACCCAAAATTTATCAGGGATTCCGTTACCAAACCTAGAGCTCCCTTCTCACAACTCTATACTCTCCACCCCTAAACTGTCAAACTTTAGAAAAGGTGTTTGACTTACCTATTCCTCAGTTGACTTGGGTGGAGAAGTTGTTTCGGAGGAAACTACCCGGTTGATGTTAGGAATCCCATCCTCGTCGCCATGTAATTGTGGTAGAACTGGGCCTGCAGAAAATCAGCAGAAAGAGGAAACCCTCCGACCCTTGGGACGAGAGCAAATAAAAGAGACTTTCAGAAACTGTTGAGTTGCTAAGTCACCCAGTTTATTACATGCAGCATGGAGAGAAGTTCAGCTATGCGTACAGGATACACAAAGTAAGTTCTCTGCCCGCTCTTGGGGCGTACAATCTTTATATACTTGAGCATATAGTGTGATCGAAACTTACAGAGGAGGCTCAAAGAAACAGGTGCAGCTTTATCTGTGTCAGCACCTTGTGGTCAGTGTATAAATATGTGAATGTAGCAGTAACTTGTCCTTGAGAGTTTAAAAAATA